AGGGGAAAGTGTTCATCAATAATAATAATAATAATAATAATAATAATAATAATAATAATAATAATAATAATAATAATAATTTGACAATAGTGCAGTGGTATAGATTACTGGTTAAAGCATTCAGTATTTAACTAAAAGATGATTTCAGATTCAAACTGTACTCCTCCGACTCATATAAACTGTAGAACGTGAAATTGAGTAGTAGACGATGATGAATAAGTTACAATATGAGATATTTCTAAATTTACTACTCATTTGAAAACAATTCAAAGGAGTTGATGTAAGACACAGTCAGATCTAAAAACTAAACGTTGTAGCTAACTGACTGACTGACAAACTAAACGTGACAACTAGTTATTCATTTTGTAAATCAGTAGTTTTGTGACAGACTTTGCAGTTATCATAAGTATTGTGAAATTTAACACTTAACTGTACAAATTGAAATAAGTTACAGTATGTGAAAAAGTACAAGAATGTTAAGAATAGATTTAAATAACAAATTCATACTGAAAATTTAGTCCTTTTTTCCCCTGAATTAAAAAATTATAAATCTAAAATTATTTTACACTACGATCAGCCAGTTAAATCGTAGAACCTCGTACGTAGGTATATCAGTTCTATCAGAATGGGTTTTGTGGAGAGTTTTAGAAATTTCACAGGTTGAAATCATGAGTCAGTTGAAGCTAGACCACCATTGAAAACCTGGAAGTACTGGACGGCCGTTTTGTCCTGATATGAGACTCCTCAGCAGCGCGCATCCACGATCCCGCACCACGCGGGGCTCGAACCCATGACCTACTGGTTTCGCGCGCGAGCACTTAACCACCAGACCACTGAGCCGGCATTCAACGGTGTTAATATCTAACTTCAACCAATCCACGAAGTTGCGCCACCGTACACCATTGTCTTCAGTGAGTTGTTATCTCACAACAGACCGGTTGAACTCCACTGGTAACGGCTTCAATGGTGGTCTACCTTCAACTGACTCATGATTTCAACATGTGAAATATCAGTTCTACTTGCCATAACCAATTAACACAGATAGATGAAATTGTCAGAACAAATTCCAAAATAGTAAAGGCAGTAACACTATCAATGGCAATAGGAAAGATAAAATATCGAAGGTTTGTAAATCAATGAAATAAAAACACAAAAATTATGCGGAATTCAAAATCTCATAATTTGTGGAAAGACAAGGAATGGATGCACCTGAGTAACTGTAAACGATTCAAATTCTAGAGCACTATCATATAAGACATCATCCGTCGAGGTAACTGGTGACTGGGTATACGTAACATATGTCCCAACTACCTCAATTAGTGAATATTTACTATCTCCTCAATCAATTCTCCATCCTCAGAAGGTACCCTATTCCTAACTCAGATACTACTTACTCAGTGATCCCACAATACACGAACAATGCTTCAAAGACACCTATTATCGAACACTAGTAATCTACAAATATCCTTTATTCTTAATGACCATGTTTCACATTGAAGTGAACTGTTGAGCAGTAAAGTCGATTTTGGGTTGGTAGATCAATAACTTGCCTACGCTAAAAGTGAAACAAATTTGACATTTGAACCCATGTCAAGAGAAATCCAAAATGAGGTTAAATAGTTTTGATATTATTTGTTTAGGTAAAATATAGTACCATTTTATAAAGTCAATTTTTCAGAAATTATTGAAAAGATATATGAACAAAATATATTTTCGAGAATGAGACTTATTAAACTAGCTGACTATTCTATGTACAGAATAGATGAATGAATGAGTGAGTGAGTGGATTAGTTCATTAGTTAGGAAGTTTACTAGCATAAACAATGTCATTAGTATTATCATATGATGATATTTATCTCTTTTTTACATTAAAAACATAAAGTACATTTTCAAATAATGAATGAATAGAAAAAACAAACAAATAAATTAGATTGAGTGTGTCCTAGGGAGTCATATGATCATTGATATAAAACTAAAACTACTACTAATACTACTAACACTACTAAGATTACCGACTTCATGTTAATATTAGAAAGAGAAATAGAGAAAAAAACTGTTTCTGTTATTATTATCATTGTTTATATGTCAGTGAGTCGGATACAACGTAGGATAAGGCACATATATACATCGCTTCAAGTTGCCATACCTTACTCATTAGCACAACATGATGAACATAGAATTTACAGAACTAGTTAGTTCAATGGTGGTAACATATAAAAGAAAGATTGCATAAAAGGATATAATACAGGAAGAAAGCAATAGTTGGTAGAATGAAAGATATGAAGCGACCTTAATCTCATAGTTTAAAGGAAGACAGATAATGTATACACATACACCATTGTGATGGATTCTGAGCCATGTCACTCAGAATCTCCAACCATTATTTACGATAGTCACTCGGAGCCAAACCAAGTAGTCTGCATCTACCAACATGGGTCAGACAAGAAGTTAGTGACTTCAAACATTGATGCCACGTTTTTGTTTACCCACCACTAACTTTCTCCCAATCATCTCCAACAGTAGTTGGCATTGCGTGTCGCGGTAATTGGTGTTCAGGCATACGCAACATGTGATAGGTATATTTTAGTAGTAGTTATCATGAAAATGAACAATTTGTAATGTTTAAAAGAAGGTATTTTCTAAAGATACTTTTTTAGTTTGTAAGTAATATATTTCACAAACTGATATCAATTAAATTACCATAGAGAGTTGGGAAGTATTAGACACATGTTTCATGTCCTAATTTGAATTTTTTCACCTACAACATCATCGGAGAATGAACCCAAGTGTATCGTGTTTCACATAGTGAAAGTTTTTACAGTTAGAATTATTCAGTGGTACAAGTCTGGACTTTAGAAATCAGAAATTTCCACTACAAATTCAGAAACTTCATGTCAAAATAAATCACCAGTGAGTTGACTATTGTAGATCTAAATGAATTGTTGCTATATTTGTAATATTTAGAACAAATTTTATGTTCAATGAGTGGATAATTCATTTATTTGCAATAGATTCAGGGATTCTTAGATAAAATAACACAACAACAAAAGTAGTAGGCCGGTGTATACTTTGAATGTATTGCAAAATATGCACGCACACACACACACCACTAACCGAGAAATAGGTAGTTAAATACTACGATTAATAATAATATTTATGCGCTAAACTTTAGTTTAAAAAGCACATTTAAGTATACCCCAAATGCCCTGGTATGGCCGAGAGTGAGTACAGTCGTCTCTCCTCTCGAAATGCTCTCACAAAGACACGTGCATACAACCACTGCCAGAGAAGTCCTACTCACTGCCTTCTCGCAACACGGGTGGTTGTTTACGAAATTGAGAGGACAAAAACCGAATGACAGGCGATTTGACCACGTTGGTGGACATAGATGATCCACGTAGGGGAGCTAAAAAAACCCTGATTCTAAACCAATGGTGCACATAGCCTCCATCATCCTGAAGGGAACAAATGGTGTATGAATACAGTATTGGTCACCGGCTACCATGAGACTGCATCTCTCGACGTTGCTCGATTGCCTTGTGGATCAGACCTTTAGGTCGAAGACTTCGGGTGTGGTCCCCGAAGAAAACTACCTGCTTCGATCTGGTCACCCGGGCAGTATCACAGCCCACACACAAATCCAATGACTTTTGTGGCGCATATGTATTGGGTGCCCCTTTGTACTAATATTTATGTTCAAATAAATTTAAAAAAACACATCACTGTGCATTGAATCGGTTAGAGAAGTTATTTTTGTGTATAAGAACTAAGGATATATTAACTGTTCAGTTAAGAAAATCACACCAAGTGAAAGTAATTCCAAAATCCCATAATAATTCAATGGTTGATCGTCAAACTATCTTCTATTGTTCTGTTAGATAAGTTTGTTTTTGCAAAAAGGTAATCACTAATTTACTACCTTACCGATTAGTCCAAAGGTGGAGATTTACACATATTGAGAAGTAAAGAAATTTATGAAGAGAAAAAAGTAATAACTGTAGGACAATAGTTTTAGTTTTAAACAAAAACACTCTGCTTACGACCATTAGATCACAGATTCCATTCCACTTTTAATTTAGATGGGTTGTTTATTATGAATTGAGCTCTTTCTCACATACATGTGTGACTGACTTAAAGCCAAGTACATTACTAGATTACACTTGGAAAATGTTATGCAAAATATGTATAAAGTGTTTTTTGTTATATATAAATGAATATTGAAAATTTTAGTTTTTGCAAAAATTGTTGTTGAAAAACCTGTATACTTGTTTAATTTGACCTTCATCATGAAACACGTGGCTTAGTCACACACACACACACACATATACTCATACATCAACAAGGAAATATTCAATGAAACTACGCGCATACATATTCAAAAAATAACCACAATGGTAACATCAATTACTCATGAGAAAAACGAATGTAGTCAGACGATGGTTGTAGATGTGTGTGTGTGTTTACGAGAGAGAGAGAGAGAGAGAACGAAATACAGTAGGAATGTGTCTATCAAAGAAAATATGTCATTAATATATATCGTAAAATAATTGAAAACAATTCAATCAACTGAAATAATTCAATTCAATAAACTAAGTAACAAGTTTGTTTGTTCAGCTATAAGACCCATACGCGACTATTTAGATATACGTATAATGGATCCAACACTAATTAAACCAAACAGGAAGAGATATTTAATTGTGAACCAATGTGATTAATCAAAAATCTCTTTAAATGAAAAAAACTTTGGTTGCAGGATCATTGAAAACTGAAAGAATCATTGGATAAGTGTGTCTTGTTCAAGAATATCTAACAGTGTTTTGTATACAAACTCGTCGGGGTTCAAACTCAAAAGCTTCAGGCCTTACGACAAGCATGTGATCTTTAAGATCACTTTTTATCAATAAATTCGGAGAAATCAATGAGAGCGAAAATGTAAGTGCTAAAAGGTTACACTCTTCAACATATATAATCATAATAATACAACAATAAGGATAACTTACTTGTACCGGAAGAAGACTCTGTTTTCACTGATGTTTGTAAAGTTTCTAAACAATCTGAAGGAGGCGGTAATGATAATTGTTGTTGTATGCTTGATGCAGGTGGTGCAGATGTTGGTGTACGAGCTGAACTAGGCGTAAGTGGTGCACCAGATGTGGAACTACCGGAACTTCCAATTCCACTGATACCATGACCGCCGGAAAATGCAGGTGATGCACTTTTTGGACCATTTACACTAAGATGATTCACTGCATTATGATGATGATGATTACTATTCAATGATAATTTATCATTTTCAACTAGTGATTTATGATTTACACCTAGTTGACGTCGTTTCAATTCAGTTAATTCATTCAATTCTTTTGTACGTAAATAATTTGAATCCAATTCACTATTTGGTGTGTGCAATTCTAATGCATCTAAACTTTCTTTAACTAATTCAAACAAATCTTGTTTTAAAAAACAATATAAATCATATTCCTTTTCATTACGACTTAATGACATAATAAATGTTAACCATTGATCAGCTGTTGGACCAACAACAACATCCCATTGTGATGAGATACCATTTTGAGGACGTTCACGATAAAGACGTAAATCTGAAAAGTGAAGAATTAAGAGAAAGTAGAAATATGTAATTATATTGTGTATGAACGTAACAAGACTGCCGATTGAAGAAACAAATTTATAGATCAGTGTTTTAATTAACAATTTAGTAAACAATAGTTTATTGATGTTAAAACCAACTAACTCGACTTGACAATATACAGTTTTTGTGTGTCTATTTGTGTGAGATAACTGGTGATATACATTGACTGTATACTTGTGACTGTGTGAGATCATTTCAAGAGGGAGAGCTGACTCTTCTCGCTCTCAGCTGTACCAGGGCATTTAGGCGTAATACATCTTTACAACTTTGTACAACAATCAAGCTGTGAACAAGTCTAATAACAAGTAACGCAACAGAAATCAATAGACCTATACAACTCAAATTCAATTGATTTACCCTATAAAATTCATTAAAGATGGGAAACGATTTATCGCATAAAGTACGACACAAGGTCATATGTACAGAAATTATTCTATTTTCTGATCAATAATACTTATCTCTATGTTTCTTTTAAATAGAATCAACTTTTATTAAGAGTTCAAACTTTCTTCTTTTTATTTTCTCAACATGTTTATCGAATTATGAATACAAATTCAGACAGTTTTAATGTGTGTGTGTATATACATGGTGTTATATACAATGGGAAGAACAACAAAATGAGTCATACATTATAGGATACTGTACAATATTACTATTCATGTTAACATTGATACTTCTACAATCTCAACAACTAATTTTTTTATATTGTTATTATTAACCAATCATTAATTAGGTAAACCAGACAAGTTACCACAACACTCAGTTTTTTTTGGCCAATCATTTAGCCAATCAATCAATTTAACAAGGAATTAGTCACTAACATCTATTTACAAATTAAAATTTTAAACCTAAGCAATACACAAATGAGTAAGAGTGTTGTAGTGATGACTATTGTTTCTATACACATGGATACACCAATTATTAATATTTGTATATATACATCTCTACTTATATTGAAATTATTGTAAATAAAAAGTAAACCTATCAACAACTGATAAATGAAAAGAATACAATACAATAAGCACATGGTAATAATATTAGACAAACTAGTAGTATATAAGTAGACAGAGAGAGAGAGAAGAAAAAAACCAACAATATGCATAGATAAACAAAAATCGAAAATACAGAGATTTTAAAGCAACCATGGTGATGATGATGACGATGAAGAGAAAACATGTTACTCTACTATATTGAAGTATTTTTTTTCTTCTTTAATTGTATTACATTCTAACACATGAACACAAATACTTTCAATAAGAAGTGTAAACATTGAAGAAAAAAGAAGACTATAAGCTTATTACCATTGATATGCATTTAGACGTTAAAAATAATCACAGTAGTAGTAGTAATGATAATAATGAAAAATAAAATATTAATATTATTACATTAATTTCAATAGTTGGGACCATGAGTCAATTAAAGCTAGACCACCATGGAACCACTTGACGGCTGTTCCGTCCTATTGTGGGACTCCTCAGTAGTGCGCATCGATGATCCCTCCTCACCAGATTCGAACCTAAGGATCTATCAGTCTCGCGCGCAAGCGCTTAACCACTAGACCACTGGGCCGGCCGGTATCCAATGGTGTTAACGTCTAACCTCAACTAGTTCACGAAATTGAGCGACACACCCATCACTATCTCACAACAGACCTGGTTGAAATCGTACCCATACCATGTCATAATGCAATGTGTCCAATCACTGATTACGAGTATTAGATAGATATCAAACGAGTTCACATACATTAAGGTGACTTATTAGTTACTGGTTATAGGAAACAATAACCAAGATAATACTTAGCTCACAAATGCCATATAGTCCTCTTCGATTAGTATGTAATGCTAAAGTTAGACACAGGTTACTAGTTAAACATAGCAAATCCCTTGATGTGATAGCAAATCCCTATTGACAGAGTTGGTCGGGAAATGCATTGAGTATCTCGAACCTTCGTCCAACTTGACGCCTAATATTGGCTGGTGTAAGAATACGTTGGAAGGAAACTAATGGTGGTCAAAACAAAACATAATATCAGTCCATGGAGTCATCCACTGTTGAATTGATCCGAGTAGACAAGTAAAGACTATCTGGTTAGGGTCCATGTGACTATCGTAACCAATAGTTGGAGGTGTTTGATGATATATCTCAAAAGTGGTCTTAACAAGACAGACCTATTCACTCTTTGTCTTTCGTTATGTCTTCAGTTTTGAAGTTATCTTATGATTTTCTATTCCGAGATTTCATAGTTTCCTCTCGAGTCACACTGTTTATGACTACTGTTTTCAACCACCACATATACTGTTGCTTTATCCACTACCCTAAGAGTTGTCTTTATAATTTAATCTTTTTGTGCTCGTACGGCATAAGGATCGATGCACACATGTGCCAAGTTCCATATTCCTTATGAATGGATAATTATTTTTAACCACTAGTAAGACAGATTTAGAAAAACAGAATAATCTTAACTCAAATAGTTTATATTATCTGGAAAGACAGAGTTACTCAACACTTTATTAAACATGGACAATTTCAAGTCAAGCGTGTATATATCTACTAGATACATCTTAACGCTATTTGATCTAGATCTTTGATAAACCTATAATTCTTCATTCTTGAAACCTATAATTCATCACTATGATATATAAACTACATAACAAAGTGTTTTTTCATTGGGTAGTAGTTGTGACATTAAAGGTTGAGGTAAGTAACCATTAGAAGTGAGCAATTTAACTGGTATCTATTGAGGATATTTGCTAATTTATTGTTTTTGAAATTCATCTCAAATGTCATTTTAAATGAAGTCAAGGATTCAAACATCAGCCTTTAAAAACACCGTAACGAAGTGATGATAGATTTTGACTTGTGCTTAGTGATAGAACCGGTGTTTAGTCTAAGGTTGGACAGTGGGATAATCAAGAATATTATTCAGTTTACCTACCCAGAATGTCTATACATAGACGAGAGTCAAGGACTGATGCCTTCAGAAACCACAAAGACAATATGAAAGGCTAATTCGGTGTATATTTATTGAGTCGTTAGTGCATGGGATACTGTAAAACACTATGTCCTATATTTTACAACCACGATTTTTATACCAAACAATTTCAACTTTCAAATAATGATTTTGATTTAGATTAAATACTCATTTTCATAAATAGAAAAGCATATAAGTCAAAGTCATTTAACATGAAATTATAAGTATATATATGATGGATGAACAATAAGCAAATACACTTACCATCCATATAATAGTAACTACATCCTTGAGCATCCTGGCCAGCTTTAATAAGTACATTGACATCTTCTGTTTCAGCGAAAACATTACATCCATCACCCGATCCTAAATCTCCAGAACCAAATAAATCATGAGCATCGATTCGGTCAAGACCAGTTGATCCGGAACCATTAGCACCACCACGTACAACACCACCACCAACACTATTTGTAGATATGGAACTATTGAAACATGTTGTAAAGTTGAAATCCGGCTGTTCATCATAAACTGATTCAATTAAATTATCCAATAATGCAGCTCTAGCTGCCGGTCCCAACTGATGCACCAATTTCCCGTTACGATGACGTTGCATATTAATTCTATATGAAGTACGCTTATCAATTGCGAAACGATCAAGTGCTTGGTCAATAGTTGCCATACAAATATCCGGATCGTCATGATTTAAAAACCGAAGTATACGAGCAGCAAGATCACAAAATGCAACAGGATCTGGATCTTTTAAAACTTTTTGATACAGGTCCTATATATCCATACATCCAATCGAAAAAAAGAGGTTGATAAACAGAAGGAACAGTTAAATTTTACATAAAAATGCAGCTCATTACACACATATAAAAAATTATATTCAAAATTAGTTAACCATGCAAAGCTACCTTATTCCGGTTCATTTTATATAGTTCAGCATATTGAATTAGAACAATGTCTTATACTAGATAATGAATTGACTTTTAAGCACCATATATCAGATTCACTTTCGGCAGATGAGTAGCAACACTAGTCTTTATACCCACGTCATGTGGCTAGCTTAGAGACAAGTGTATAAATATGCATCATATAATTGAGTTGAACAATGAAGTTACGTAGAGAACAGGATTATTTTTCTGCTACTCAATTATCAACTACAAGTTTATACACTTACCTTTGCATCAGACATTTTACGTGAATGCGAGTCATCAGCTGGTCAATCATAACCAAAACAAGCCCTGGCACAAATGTGTATCATTCTACTTTACCATACCATATTAACATAGAGATGAAACTGATAAGATGAGTAGTAGTAGTAGTATCAACGATAGTAACGAAAACAAAATATGCAGAATATGCTCCAAATAGAAGGGATGTAATGAGAGAATGAACAGTATAAGATAATATTAAAACTTTTAATTTACGCTGATGATTTGTGTTACACTAATGTTTAAACAGAAGCAGATGAGCTGAGGTTCGAATCCATAACATATGCATTGAAAGTTAAATCTCCTAATCTGTAAACTACAGTGAAAAATGCCATCATATTAAAGCTAGTAGTAGCTAGCTTTGGATTACTTCACAGTATGTTAACCATACAAAAAAAGTTTACAATCCTTTAAAAGATATCACACAGTTTATAAGGAACACGGATTGTAAATTTAAAAAAAATTCCTACTCTCAAATCATATTCATTATGATATCATAACATTATCAATAAATACTACTATTCTATTTAAGGAATAACACTATACAATTTTATCGAAATTATTCAGTTTATTCTAAGATCATAATAAATATAACAATAACATCAGTTACAACAACCAATAACACTTCTATATTTACATAATTTTTTAAAAAAAAAAAAAACGAGTTGTATAAATTCATTTCTATGTTTGTACAGAACAAAAAAAAAGTACACTTCATTATGCATAACAATTACTTTTTTAGTTTTTTTTACAAATTAATACTCAATATAAGACAACTAGTTAATTCGATCACAATCAACAACAAAAAGTAAAAAAAAAAATATATTGATCAGTAAGTACATTTTATTAATTGTAATTATCTATCATCATTATTTAACTAATTGGAACTAATTATACAGTCATTGATTATATTGTTTAATGAATTTCATCACTTATCTAATGTGGATAACTATCTCCATCTAACAAAGGATTAAACTCCATTGGTCAGGATTTCTCTTATGAGTTACATCTTCAAGTTAATCACTAGTGAGCACATGACTCTGTTATCAGTATGGGGGATTTATGAAGACTGATCATGAGTTGATCTAAGTTAGACTATTATTAAAAACTTGTAAGAATTGGACATCAAGATCGTCAGTGAGTCATCGACAACGTAGGATCGGGCACATTTATGCATTAGCTCAGGTTGTCATACTTTATTAGAACAACAAAATGAACGCCAAATACATAGAAGCAGTTACTCTAATGATAATAATATATATGAATAAAGATTGCATAAATAAGGATATGATACAGGGAAAAAGGATCGGTTCATAGAATGAAAGGTATAAAGTAATTTTAATCCTATGGTTTAAGAGAAGACAAGGAGTGTATACACCTACACATCTATAATATATTTATAATTAATTTAGTTGAGATTTTCAGCAACAACGTAATAAAAAAACATTTCACCTGATGTTGATTTTCGAGATTAACTCAAACTGAGAACAGTCATTATCAGACCTAAGATTTGGCATTGTTAACTTTTAACTGTTGTACAGTTACAAGACAAGTCTATTGATGATACGTGAATGCCAAAGGTTTTCTTAGGAGCAATATTTTTTGTGAGGCAGAAACGTTCAGAAGATAAATACCAATGAGATAGTGCAACTATATGGGGGTTAACACTGTCTGCACTCCATCTTCAAATATTGCTATATCACCAGGAAATCACGGAAGCCCAACTCAATGCTTTCACATGATCAGATGTTAGAGTAATTGAGTTGGAATTTTTAATATATATATATATATATATATATATATATATATATATATATATATATATATATATATATACTCTCAGATGATATGGAAATTGGGGATGATTGTACTAAGGAAACCATCTGCTTTCATTTGGGTTACCGGATTGTAGCCTAGGTTTAACACAAACCATAAGTATTGAAACCGAGAAAACAAAAATGATGTATTGTTTAATAACCTATCGTATCAAACTTGTTTCCAGTGTTTTAATCTAAAGTATTATGAATAACTCAAGGAGTTATGCTACCTTTAGAGTATGATAGTAGAAATTTCAAGTTAGTGAGGCAGAAATAAAGTGTAAGTTTCCAGGACCTGACACCACAAATAAATAGTGAGAAGATTAATTTTTTTCTTTATAAATCGATATTAACTCGAACACCATGAAATTACCTTAGAATAACTATAGAAGATTGATCAACTAACTTGAAATGTAATCTATGATGTAATTCCTATAGAAAAACTCAAACAATCTCATATCATTTAATGGAAACGCCTTAACGTGGTAGGATAAATCACATCGAAATGTGTAAATTATTATTTGATTGGAATGAATACAAACAATATTAGAGCCTCTGCCAGGGAAGTCCTACTCACTGCCTTCTCGCATAACGAGTGTTGTTTACGAAATTGAGAGGACGAAAAGCGAATGTCCGGCACTTTAGCCGAATTCCAAACCGATCGTACACATGGGCTCCATGATCCTGAGGGAGCAAATGGCATATGAACCAATTATTGGTCACCGGCTACCATGGGAATGCATCTCCTCACGATGCTCCACTGCCTTGTGGATCAGACCTTTAGGTCAAAGGCTCGAGGTGTGGCCCTCTAAGAAAACCACCTGCTTCGGTCTGGGCACTCGGGCAGTATCACAGCCCTCACACAAATCGAATGATTTATGTGGCTCATATCTACTTGGTGCCTCCTTGTACCAATGTTTATGTGTTTAAATAAATAATATTAATCATCCATTAATTAAAGAAAATAAAACAAATAAACAATACAAACCAGGTAAAGAAAAGAGGAGCAAGCGAGCGACAGAAAGAATAACAATCAGACTTGTTTTTCTGTCATTAGATCTAATCAATTGGTCTTTCAATAGTATTTAACAATCATAAGAAAAACAAAATGGTATTATTTCATAACATGTAAAAAAAAGAAAAGTGAACAAGCCAGTAAGTAAGTCAGTGAATGAATGAATGAGAAAGATCGACAGAATATTGAAATTTTCAACCGATTATTTTCATAGTTGATGAATATATTATGAAATTGTAACTAATCTATTTATCTATTAGAAATAAATAGAAAGTATCATAAAGTTGCATTCACATACAAATACAATAACATTTGGCCTAATTAACAATTTTTACACACACACACATACATCCATACATACAGGGTATATGATGAAATCAATATTCATAATATGAATATTTCTCAGTTACCTTTATATATAATTATTTATAACCTAATCATTACAACTCACAATATTATGGCATAGTTAACTTGATGGAATTGACTATTGATAGTCAATGATATTAAATTGTTCTATGTGAAAATAGAGTAAACTTTCCCGTTCACTTAAAAAACACAACGATTATATCATACAATCCTAAATGAAATCAACAAAGTTACTAATTGGATAATTGAAAATAAAAGTTAAATGTATTAAGTACTAGATCCATTTATGTAGAATAAATAATAACATATAAAACATATTTCACTCTTATTTGATAACTTTATTGCGTCATCATTTTCAATCTTATACTGATTCAAGAATGTTATGGTTAACTAATCAAGTTTCACTGAATGTATACTATCCTTACTTATTATTAGCAGTTATTCATTAAGTGATTATTTAAGTTTGGTTCCTTCATCTTTTGTTACCATTAATTTTTCGAAATGTTCTTTCGCATATGGTATATATGTATTGAATAGGTTTATATAGAATAAACAGAATGTGGAATCCAAAACACGTGTTTCGTCCTATATGCGACATCAGCTGTATCTCCGAGATAAATCCAGGAGTGGACATCAACTCTCGAACCCAGATCCATCCAGCTAACGAGTTCGAAATAAGACGAAATGGACGCGGTGAATGGCCAGATTCTATCGATTCTGTATGAACGAATTCATTATTCCGAGTACATTTAAAGTACTTTGTAATTTTGATTTAGAAAAATAATAGGTTATCTAAAAGAATAAAATGAATGCTCTTCATCCTACTCAACTCATTCTTTTTATTTCCTTCAACTTAATAAAGGGAAATATCTGCATCAGAAATCTGAAGCAGTTCAAGAGCAGAGTTAGGAGTATTCGAGCACATTGTTGAAAGTCAAGTGTCTTAAACTACTCTAAGGCATACTGATTAACTCATTACACCATTTACTTATAACAATTATATATATGCTTTGGATCGTAAGACTTTACATAACAGTTGTGGAGCTTAAACAATAATTGGAGATATTGAGTGTGATGTAAATAAATATCGCTCAACAGTCAATCATATGTAATGTAGAACACGGAACATGCGTACATCTGTTCAAATTATCAGAGTACATTATCACTGTGAGATGAAACGGTCAGCTCAAATATCAGCCAACAGTACGACGATTCAATTTATCTTTTTTATGTCATGAGTTAGGTGTCATTTTTAATCTTACGATTTTATTTATTCCTTCCAAATTGTATCTCTGAAGTTTAGAATTCCATTGGAATGATAATATACACTCGTATCAGGTAATCTACGTCAATAATGACTGACTGGTGA